ACTCGTAACTTTGGCGTGCGTACGTGCGTAAAATTCTCGGGGGGTGGGGGGTTACTCCCTACAATGGCCTATACGAGGAGGCTACGCCCGAAAGGGGTACCTTTTTCTGGCTTCCGGTATATGAAAGGGTAGGGATTTCACTCGTTGAAGTATATGAAAAGGTTGGGAAATCTGTCATTTTTAATTGGGTCTACGAAAGGGCCTACTGAGGACCAACAGATGAATTTTATGGCTTTATAAAGGCGAGAAAACGTTCCGTTTTTGCGATTCATTCCTATTTAAACTAGAGACCGAGCATTTAAAAGGATGCAAAGTTCTAAACAAGGTATGTGAAAGGGACACCATTTGTCAATAGAAGGTATACGAAAGGGGTACCTTTTTCGTGAAAAATGGTATATAAAAGGATAAGGGGTTGGACCTCGGGGCGGAGCTTCCCCGTATAAAAATTTGTTGAGTAGCCCCCCCTCCCCACCCCCCGGGTAGTATGCTACGCCAAAAGTGACAAAATATCAAAGATGCAACTTTATAATTTAAAACCACCAAATTACTATCAAGATCGATAAAATTAACATCAATTTGCTTTTTGAATGTGTCAAGATTGTAGAATTTAATTTCAATTCCCACGTGTCTCATGTCATGTATCAAGAGACACGTTTTCTAAATCAAGATGCATGTTTTTTAAATCAAGAAGGGAGACGACAATTTTTGATCAGTATTGTTTCCGAGAGGGACTGAAACCGAGCACATAGGTTGGAATTCAAGGTTTAAATAATTAAAAGTGTTGACGGGCCTGCACGATGCTTCAGTTCGCAAATAGATTGGTCTTAAAACCTTTTTAGTTTAGCTCTTACTTCAGTGTCTTTTAGGGATTTTCCTAATTGCGATATGAAATGAGGGGCGGTTCCTTAAAGACGTTTCTGAGATATGGTTGGTTCTGTATAAAGTGCCATTTCCCCATGAGTATGTTCTTGAGGTTTGGCAACGCAGGGTGGTATTGCGTTACAAAGGGTAGTATTTTCTTACTTGCTTTTTTGTTTCTCTGTTCTAATGCTTTCTTTCTGTCTGCGAAATTGACCTCTGAGAGATGTTTTCTACAGTTGTAGCTGGGTAATCTCTATTCTTGAGGCGTGTTGAAAAACTCCTTGCTTCTCCTTTGATAAAGCCTTTTGTGACGCCTGGTGGGTGACATGCCGGGGTGACACGAATACAAATTCGTGCATTGGAATGTTTCTGTAGACTTGAAGTGTGTTCGCACGTCAAGGATAGAATCGTTGTTGAATCTGACACCTTTGTACCTTTTGTGTCCAAGAATGTAGTTTCTGTTTCTGATATTTCAGCCGAGATAGAATTTGATTGTAGAATGGAAGTTGTTTGCCTGTAGAAGGAATTCTTCTATTTCGTTTCTGCTTGTGTCCCATTCTGGTATGCGCGTCATCGATATAAATCTTTTCCAAAAGATGGGCTTAATGCTGCTCTGAGTCTGAGTATTTCTTTTTCTATTTTGGCTATGAAGATGTTAGCAAAGGCTAGGGCCATTTTCGTGCCCATGGCTGTTCCATGGGTTTCAAGATAATCTTTCAAGTTAAATTGAAACGAGTTTTCTAGTAGTATCAGACTAAGCATTTCGCTTAAAAACCTGGTAGGGACTGGAGGCCCGGTTGCCTCGGTGAAATTCTTCGTATGCAAGGCATACAGTGGTAATACCCTCTCGTTGTGTTTTTTGTTTTGTTTTGTGACGTCCATTGAAACATGTATGGCACTTTTAGGCAGTTTAATCCTCTCGATGAAGTTAATAAAGTCTGTCGTATCTTTAAGATAAGAAGCTTGTAGTTGTGCTATTGGCTGAATAAGGTGGTCAACTTATGCTGAGATCCGTTCTGTAGGTCCGGAACACCCTGATATAATAGGTCCTCCGACAAGTGTTGGTTGGTGGATTTTAGTAAGTGTGTAAAACACGGGGATTCGCGGAGGATCGGGCGTAAGGGAGAGCCATTTAGCCGTCGTTTTATCAATGTGGCCTTCTGAGAGCAGTGTTTTAATAAGTTGTTGAGCTTTTTTGGTTGTAGTTTCACCATTGGTGGTTTGTCTAGAGGTCGGTAGTTATTTAAATTATCAAGAACCTGATCTTCGTTTAGTTTGTCCTGTCTGCTTATCAATACGGTGGTGTTTACCTTTATCAGATTTCTTATGAATAATGCTTTTGTTGCGCGATAACTCTTTGAGAGCTTGGCGCTCTCCCGTAGATATATCATCTTTTGGCTTGTCAAATTCAATACTTGCGAGCTCTAATTTAACCTCCTCTAGGAAGGTCTCCAGAGTCACAGATAGCTGGACTGGTGGTTCCCAGTCCGACTTCACGTGGAAAGGATGAGGTTCGTTTTCCCAGTTCCCCGTGAAAAATATATTGTAGTCGCATTCGTCTCGCAAATTGATTGAAATCCGCGAAAAGCTGGCGCCTGATAAGATTTTCTTTTGTCACGGGTGTAGGGATAAACTTTAGACCACGCGATAGTAGAGTATTTTGCTTATCTGTCAGTTGTTCATTTGACAGGTTTTTGATATACTGTTTGCGTGACTCAATGGCGTTAAAAAAGCGCTTTTTGTCTTGGATTTTTCCCCGCTCTTTTCTTTTGCAGTTTTTGGCCGCTTTGTTATCTCTGCGGTTTGCTTTCCCTTTCCCCTTACTTGTAAGGAGTCTGATAAGAGACAAGAGTCAGATTCACCTTGTTTATTTGCACACACTTGTGATCTCATTTGTTCTAACAATACATCGACTTCGCTAATCTTGGTCTTTAGTTTACATTGTCATCTTTGTTGACAGTTTTCTTTCTAGCCGGTGATTGCGTTTTCTGGTGAGACGTCTGCTTAGTATTCCTATATTATTCCTTACAGTATTCCTGCGAGATTTTTACTGTTCGAGTTTACGAAGCTTGTTTTTTAATCGTTCTGCGCGCCTGTGGTGACATTTCACCAGCGCTTCTACGAGAGCCTGTTCTGCTTTCTTTCTAATCGAGCCTATCTCGTTCTTAAATCGCTGCCTCAGTTCTTCGTCACGTGTTGACACTTTCGAGATGTGTTCGAGATGTGTTAACTCCTTGTGCTGCTCGAATGATTCTTCTCACAAGTTCTTCGATTCC